GGGAAGTCTGGGAGTTGAAGTCCATGCATCTTAAAGTTGCCAAGGTTGAGAAACACTGGGCTAAAATCTTAGATCACTTGGTGAGACTGTCACATATATTATTTGCCACTTGATTCATTTCTAAATTTTCATCTACTAAAAGTCTGGGGAGGTCAAGAAGAGAAGAAATGGTATAGTGAGGAACAGAAGATGTTTCCTTGGGAACTGTTCCAGTTTTATTTATCCAAATGGTTGCCTTCAAACCTGCCTTCAACCCTCCTTGGATGTCCGTGTCTAAGGAGTCTCCAACCATCACACAGTCCTCGGGCTGAACCCCTAGAAGTTCACAACCATGATGAAAAATGGATGGTGCTGGTTTCTCTTCTTTCTGCTCTCCCCCTATAACAATTGCATCAAAGAATTCCTGACAGGCACAGGCTTCAATCTTCTCTCTTTGTGTCTCAGTGTCTCCATTTGTTAGCAGAAGCAAACGGGCAACTTTTCTGAGGTTGCAGAGGATCTTGCGTGTCTCCTCTGCCAAAGTCAAGTGTTGCAGGCGGGTAGTTTTCCAAAGAAAATAACATTCTCTAGCCAGCTTCTGATTGGCTACCTCTCCCTTTACCTCTTGTATAGCTCCTTCCCAATGTTGGATCCTTAGATTAGTAATAGATATTTTAGATGGATCATAGCACTCTTTGCGGAGCTTGGCTTCGAACTTACCACAAATCACGTCAGCTTCTCTTTCAGTGCAGTGATACTCAGATTGTAAGAATTTGATTACCTATGAAAACAGGGACAAATCAGAACAATGTCAGATGTTGGCTTAAGTTTACTTCTCCAATTTGGTGCCTTCCAGAAATGCTGGACTCAAACTTCCAGAGTTCCTAGCCAACATACCTGCATACTGGCTAGGAAGTTTACATCAACCCATCCCACCTGGTCTGGCAGGGAAGGCATGTTGCGGATCCCATCAGTAAAAGAATGTCAACTGGTGGGTCCTAGGAGGAGAGCCTTCTCTGCCGTTGCCCCTGCCCTATGGAATACTCTTCCCCCAGAGGTGAGGCGGGCCCCGACCCTCCTAATTTTTTCGAGGGAATTGAAGACTTGGCTCTGCCAACTTGCGTGGGGCAAGGAAAGATTCAATCGATCCTGGGGATGGCTGGCGCCTTGACAACGCTCCCTGAGTTTATTAACACCTAATTAACATCAGCCTCTTGGAAGTATCATATAGGAAGTTTGTTTTTAGCATATTTTAATTAATTAACAATTTAATTATTAATTAATATTTATCTATTATAATCAATGTTTATTCTGTTGTGTTTATCTATTTTAATCA